CTCAAATTTCTCTAATTTTCCCTTTTTTCTGTTTTTTTCCAGCTCTCCTGGCGGGATTAACCCCTTCCACTCCGGGCGCTCACCAAGTTCCCGCCGTCTCCTCCCTCTCCCAACCCCCCCCTTTACCCCCCTACCCCCCCAACGCCCCCGAAATTCCCGAAATTCCCGAAATTCCTGGAATTCCGGGAATTCCCATCGTCTCCTCCATCCCCCACCACCCCTCGGTCATCGCCTCCCCCCTCCTCAAATCGCTGCATCCCAACGTTATCCCGGGAAATTCTGGGAATTCCGGCAATTCCGGGAATCCTCCGGCGGTGCTGGCGCCCACCCAGCCCGTGGCCAAGGTGAGATTTGGGAATTTTGGGGAAAAAAAGGGATTTTTGGGAAAATTTGGGAAATTTTAGGGAAAAAATGGGTTTTTTAGGGAAAAAATGGCGTTTTTTAGGGAAAAAATGAGGATTTTTGGGGAAAAAATGGGAATTTCTTTTAGGGGAAAAATTGGGATTTTTGGGGTTTTTCAAGGGAAAAAATCCAGATTTTTGGGGGGATTTTTGGGCAGTTTTGTTTTTTTTTTTAAATGGGGTTTTTTTTAAGAATTTTGGGATTTGTTGGAGAAAAAATAGGGGTTTTTGTGGTTTTTTGGGGAAAAAAATGGGGATTTTGGGGTGGGATGGAATTCCGGGAATCCTCCGGCGGTGCTGGCGCCCACCCAGCCCGTGGCAAAGGTGAGATTTGGGAATTTTGGGAAAATTTGGGAAATTTTAGGGAAAAAATGAGGTTTTTTGGGGAGAAAATGGGAAAAAAATGGGGATTTTGGGGAAAAAATTTGGCATTTTTGGGCAGAAAAATGGGAGTTTTGGGTCCTGGAATGGGATTCTGGATCCTGGAATGGAATTTTTGATCCTGGAATGGGATTTTGGATCCTGGAATGCGATTTTGTATCTCGTTATGGAATTTTGGATGCTGGAATGGAACTTTGGGTTCCAAAATGGAATTTTGGTTTCCAGAATGGGATTTTGGGTCCTGGAATGGGATTTTGGATTCTGGAATGGGATTTAGGGAGTCTTTAATGGGATTTTGGGTCCTGGAATGGAATTTTGGATCCTGGAATGGAATTTTGGGATCCTGAATTGGGATTTTGGATCCTGGAATGGAATTTTGGGTCCTGGATTGGGATTCTGGATCCTGGAATGGGAATTTGGATCCTGGAATGGAATTTTTGGATTCTGTAATGGGGTCCTGGAATGGGATTTTGCGTCCTGACTTGAGAATTTGGGTCCTGGAGTAGGATTTTTGGTGTTTGGAATGGGATTTAGGATTTTGGAATAGGATTTTGGATCCTGGAATGGGATTCTGGATTCTGGAATGGAATTTTGGGTCCTGGAATGGGATTTAGGGATCTGGAATGGGATTTGCAGATTTTTGGGTCCTGAAATGGAATTTTGGAATGGGATTTTAGGTACTGGAATGAGATTTAGGATCCTGAATTGGGATTTTGGATTCTGGAATGGATTTTTGGGTTCTGGAATGGGATTTTGGATTCCAGAATGGGATCCTGAATTGGGATTTTGGATCTTGGATTGGGATTCTGGATCCTGGAATGGAATTTTGGATTCTGGAATGGGGTCCTGAAATGGGATTTTTGGATCCTGGAATGGAATTTTGCGTCCTGGAATGGGATTTTGGGTCCTGGGATAGAATTTAGGGTCCTGGAATGGGAATTTAGGATCCTGGAATGGAATTTAGGATCCTGGAATGGGATTTTGGGATCCTGGAATGGAATTTTTGATCTTGGAATGGAATTTTGGATTCTGGAATGGGATTTTGGATTCCAGAATGCAATTTTGGATCCTGAATTGGGATTTTTGGATCCCGGAATGGAATTTTGGATTCTGGAATAGGATTTAGGGAGTCTTTAATGGGATTTTGGGTCCTGGAATGGAATTTTTGGATCCCGGAATGGGATTTTTGGTCGTGGAATGGGAGTTTGGATCCTGGAATGGAATTTTGGATCCTGGATTGGGATTTTGGGTCCCGGAATGGAATTTTGGGTCCCGGAATGGAATTTTGGGTCCCGGAATGGAATTTTGGGTCCCGGAATGGAATTTTGGGATCTGGAATGGGATTTTGGGATCTGGAATGGAATTTGGGGTTCTGGAATGGGGTCCTGGAATGGGATTTTGGATTCCAGAATGGGATCCTGGATTGGGATT